ATGAAGAGCTGGATGAACACAGCAGGCCAAGCAGCATCATAGGAGCAGAAAGGCTGATGTTTCAGGCCTAGGCCCTTCACCGGACCGTCAGCCTTTCTGCTCCAATGACGCTGCTTGGCCTGCTGTGTTCATCCAGCTCTACACCTTGTTGTCTCGGATTCTCCAGCATCTGCAGTTCCTACTATCTCTTATTATGAAGAGCATCTGAATGCAGGGTAAGAATATTGAAGTCACGTGTATACGCCAAAGGCCGTTTATCAAAGTTACTGATCACTAAAGTCGAATGATCAACATTGGTAAATAATTGTTTTTAAATCCAAATTCTACTAAAATGCAGTTTTCATTCGTGAATGTGATTACACTTAGTTACCAGAATTTATATCCAAATGACTTTTTGTTAAACCAGTCTTAGGGACACCACAATATAATGAAGCAGGAAATTTATGAGTATGTTAATAAAAGTATAACCCCATCATTTTGATGTGGCAAAATTGTTAAGCATGAGCGAGAATGGCGGAATGTGTAGAACCAAACAAATCTGCAAATCACGAACAAAATCTGATCTTTCCCCCTCAACTTCGCCTATTTCTCCTCTCATCTCATCTCTGGACAGTGCCAACTAGCCTGGATTCGTTCCCAAGATGCACTTCAGCACCTCATCCAATGAATGCATCATTCTTGTGAGAACATTGCGTGTCAACACGTAATCTGATAGCTTCAAGAACAAGTCTTTTCTTGACCCAGAGTTTTAAATGGGAGACCCTTTATTTTTATACAATGGCCCCTAATTCTAGATGCAAACATCTTCTAATATCTATCTTGTCAAGGCTCTAAGAATACCAAATGTTTCAATAAAAACACCTTTCATTCTTTAAAACTTTGATGAGTATCGACTGACTCTGCTCAATCTTTCCTCACAAGACAACTCCTTTATCCCAAGAAGTTCAGCAAACCTTTTCTGAGCTGCTTTGAATGCAGGTATATCCCTCAAAGGAAACCAAATCAGTACTGTACACAGTACTACACGTGATTACACCACACACTTGTGCCAAAACTTCCCAATGTGCTCCACATCCTTCTAATGTTGGCCAACATTCTAATTGCCTACCTAATTATCTGCTGCACCCCACACTAACTTGTTCTTCATGGAGAAGGACACTCAGTTCCTTTTATACTACAGTATTCTAAAGACAGTTTCCATTTAAATAATGTTGTTTTTCTAGTCTTCCTACCAAAGTTGACAATCTCACTCACACACATTATAATTCCACGTCATTTTGCTTTGTCCATTCACTTAACTCATCTATATTCCTTTTCAGAGATAGTAAGAACTGCCGATGCTGGAGTCTGAGATAACACAGTGTGGAGCTGGAGGAATGCAGCAGGCCAGGCAGCGTCAGAGGTGCAGGAAAGCTGACATTTCCGGTCAGGACTCTTCTTCAGAAATGGGGGAGGGGAAGAGGGCTCTGAAATAAATAGAAAGGTGGGGTTGGACTGTGGAAGGTAGGTGGGATGGTGATAGCAGGTAGGTAGCGGTGGGGATTGGTCAGTGCGTGGGTGGAGCGGATAGGTGGGAGAGAAGACGGACAGGTCAAGGAGGCAGGGATGAGAGGGAGGGTTGGTCTTGGGATGAGGCCGGGGGTAGGGAGATTTTGAAGCTAGTAGAGTCCACATTGAGACCATTGGATTGTAGGCTTCCAACGCGGAATATGAGGTGCTGCTCCTCCAGTTTCCGGGTGGTGTCGTTGTGACACTGGAGGAGGCCCAGGATGGACATGTCGTCCAGGGAGTGAGGGAGGGAGGAGTTGAAGTGGTTCGCGACTGGATGGTGTTGTTGTTTGTCGCGAACCCAGTGTAGGTGTTATATAAAGTGGTCCCCGAGTCTCCGCTTGGTCTTGATCCTTTTCAGTTTCTTTATCTGCTGCTCACCTGTCTACCTACCTATCTTTGTATCATCAGTAAATGTGGCTTACAAAACAGTCTGATCTTTCATCCAAGTCAATATTGTGAATTGTAAATAGTTCAGACCCAAGCACTGATCCCTGCAACACCCCACTGGTTATTGTTTGCCAAATTGAAAATAATTAATTCACCCTGAATTTGTTTCCTATCAGTTAGCTAATATCCCAACACCATCAGCTCTTATGTTACATCGTAAACTTTTATGTGGAACATCATCAAATGCATTCTGGATATCCAACTACATTACATCTGCTGGTTCCCCTTTATTCAAGCTGCTTATTATATCGTCAAATAACTTATATTCCTCCGCAAAATTATCCTACTTCTTTACTAGTCAATTCTTCCATTTAACCATTGACAGATTTACACTTACTGGCATAACAGTTTCCTGCTATCTTCTTTCATGAATGTTTGTGTTACATGCAGTTTACTAATCCAGTGGGACCTTGCCACAGCCAATGAAATTTTGCAAAATTACAACTGATATCCGCCATCTCTACAATCACTTTCTTTAAAAACCTAGAATGCAGACCATCAAGTCAAAGGGGGACTTATCAGCCATTGGTCTCATTTGTTTCACTAGTACTATTTCCTCCAGTGATCAAGTTCCCTCCCACCCCACTTCCGCCCTTGACTCTTCTTGGGATACCTTTTGCATCGTTCACTGTGAAGACAGGTACAAAACACTTGTTTGCTTTTTATATACAATAGAAACATATTACTGTCTTATTCTAATTACTCTATTATTACCTTAGTCAAAAAATATCCCAATCCTCTGACCAACACCAATTTTTACAGCAATGTCAACATGTTCTCTTAGTTTGAAACTATCCTTTAAGTTTCTTAGTTATCCACATCCTCCTTGCATCATCTTCCTTTCTCAATTTAGATATCTTTGTTGAGACTTAGGAAACATGCCCTTAAATGTCTGCCACTAATTTTCTACCCATTTTTCCACCCAAATTCAGCTAAAGATACCTTCATACCTTTGTAATTGTTTTCATTAGGATGGTAGCTTTAGGCCCAAATTTCTCATCCTTAAACTGAATGTGAAATTTTTGTTATGTTCACTTTTCCTTAAAAGGATCCTTCACTATGAGGCCATTATTTAATCTTGTCCTGTTACATATTACCAGGTCTGTCACTTGTTTGGTCCCAGAATGTATTTTTCAGATATTGTCTTAAATGCATTCTCCATTTGATGTACTCCAGGTCCCTTTATTCTCCAAAAACAAATGAGCACTTTGTTGCCTTTTCCCTCTTTTCTACATCCTATCCACTTCCCAATCCAAATTCCCCAACCCATCCTTCATCTAACTTCACAAACCCAAATTAGTTATCTGAAAAGAAGACTGGTTAGGCGGAAGACAAAACAGTAGGTGAGTACTCAAATTGGAGGAAGTGGCTTGTGGTGTTTTACAAGGATTGGTGTTGGGATCTCAACTATTGACTAAATTTATTAATGATTTGACAACACAATACAGCATTCATCCAAAGATCAAGGGTTTCGCGGCTACAGACCACTAAAATGTCAGATCAGATTTGAAAAGTAATCAAAAAGGGAAATGGAATGATAGGCTCGAGATCAAGCCTTATCTGGAGTCATTAGAGGGGACGGGAAATCGCTGGCTACCCAGTGTCTGAACCAGAAGGCCCAGGTTCAAGAACTACTCCAAGACTTACATGTGAAAGAATGCTGCCACTGGTGTATTCGTGCTAACCCCTAACTGCCCTGAATGGGAAGGATCAGTTGCAGCAAGGCATATGGCAAGGAAAAGAAACCCATTAAATCCAGGGTTTTAATATGATTTGAAAAGAAAAACAAACTATTCTGCACACCCCATCTTACACAGCCTTGAAAGGAATGCAGATCTGTGGAATACTAGCATGTCTCAGATCTTCAGATGATTGATGCGGTCTCTATAGGTTAAGGCTGATTTGAGTTTTTTGAAAACATTTCAAAAAGTGGTAAACAGTGTCCAAAGCAAAGGGACAAAGAATTAAAATCAAAACCTAATCTCTGAGGAAAGGACCAGCTCATTGCACACAAGTGTTAAGTGCTATAGAACTCTCTTTCACAAACAGTAGATTCTAGACTAAATAATTAGATATTTTATTCTGCTAGCATAGAATCAAATCATAAACAAGTGGATGGAGTTAAAAAAGATTGGCCAAGATCTCAATCAATATGATCAGGGGTGAAAGGACTCTTTCCCGTTTCAGTCAGCCCGCTCTCTCCAAAACATTTCCCATTTTCACTTTGATTTCTCAATTTCTATCCCTTCCCCAGATTGCCCTTCCTCTTAAACACACATTGCCATCATGTTTTCGCCTCCCGCTGCTGGGTCTCGCTCAGGATGTAACCATTTTAGTCCTGAGGTTTTCCCCAGGTTCAATCTCTCCCTTCCACCATTAATTCCTTCACTACCCACTTTCCTCGAGCTTCCCCCGGGGGGCGGGGGTTACAGATATCCCTGATCTTCTCCGCTCCCCGTAAATTTCACTAACAGCCCAGTGTTATGTTTCAGTGGTTAGTTTAGCGGCGGTTTTTGTTTTCATTTGCGGCATTTTGTCATCCTTTCTCTCCATCGACACAAACAAAATGGCGCCGGCTCGACCAGTGAGAAAATGACAAAGCCCCCCACCCGCCAAACCCCGGGTCTAGAGGAAGACGGACACAGCAACTCCCTAGTCCATGGCAGAGGGCCGGCCCGAAACATCTCTCCCCTTCCTCCCTCCGTCCCGTGCCCGCCGGAGACACCCAGCAGCCCCTTTCCCCTCGGCTTTCTGCTTCATTTCACTTCGCCATTCTCCTCCCGCTTTCTTACCTCGAGCAACCCGTCCTCCTGACTAAACGGTGTGCGCACGCGCAGCCCTCTCCGACACATCCGAAACAACGACAGTGCGCACGCGCACACCGCTTCTTCGCCCGCCCCCTCCAAGCGGGAGACCACAACACTGCGCACGCAGCCTCGTCTCCCTCCCCCGAATGGGGAACACAACACCGCGCACGCGCACACGGCTGCATCTCCCACCCCCGAAAAGAGATCCAGACGCTGCGCACGCGCAGCTCCCGCCGACAACACCGATGGCCGCAGACAACGTCACTGCGCACGCGCAGCCCCCTCCCTCCCTCCCCGGCCAAAACCAAGGTCACCAGACGACGCACGCTTGGCTCCCGGCGCTCACGCAAATGCGCGTGCGCTCTCACCTGCCTGCCGAGACCGAGCGAACTGAGCATGCGTTTTCATCCCTCCTTCACCCCGCCGACCTCCAATATTGAAGCGTTTGGATGTGATCCTTGTTCCCAGGGCTTTTTTGACACATTTGGAATTTGCAGGTTTCGAAGCAGGATTACCCAGCTCATACATTTACTGGTATTTTTGAAAATATAATTGTTTATAGTCACCACAACGTTACTAATGTTTTTAATTTATTTTGATGAAATTAACTTTGAGTTCTACAGCACGGAAACAGAACCTTCAGACCGATCCGTCTATGCTGACCAGATATCCTAAACTGATCTAGTCCCATTTGCCAGCATTTGGCCCATATCCCTCTAAACCCTTCTATTCGTATACCCATCGAGATGCCTGTTAAATGTTGTAATTGTACCAGCCTCCACCACTACTTCTGGCAGCTCGTTCTATACATGCACCACCCTCTTCATGAAAAACATGCCCCTGAGATCCCATTTAAATCTTTCCCCTGTCACCTTAAACCTACGCCCTCTAGTTTGGGATACCTGTACCCTGGGAAAAAGAGCTTGTCTATTCGCTCTATCCATGCCCCTCATGATTTTGTAAACCTCTACAAGGTCATCCCTCAGCCTCTGATCTTCCAGGGAAAATAGACCAAGCTTATTCAGCCTGTCCCTACAGCTCAAACCCTCCAACCCTGGCAATATGCTTGTAAATCTTTTCTGAGCCCTTTCAAATTTAACAGGAGAGGAGATATATTTCTAAACAACCTGCTCAGAGATGTTAATTCACACCTCTGGAGCAGGTGAGACATGAACTCAGGCCTCTCCCTATAGCTCAAAGGTAGGAACACTACCACCTCACCATGAGGATCCTTAGAACTGATGCAATACTGCAAAACTATGGGATGATGTGTTTTGGAAAAAATCAGAGATGTTTCTCAGTATCTTGGTACATTTTGAGAACAGAAAGCTACAGCATCAGAACTTTTAATTTATAAATCGCACAAGGAAATGTGGATTGCATTTTAGACTGGCAGGGAAACCTGTTTTGCCCCTGAAGCAGTGGGAAAACACCATCTTAGCTGCAGCAGGTAAGAAAATCTCTAAAAGATGGGAAACCAGCATTTTAAATGAGAAAGACCAGGAAAATTCCCAGTAAGCAGAACCGAGATAATGGAATGCTATTTGGCAGAATTTGAAACTTTAAAAGAGGAGAAAGCTACAGTACTAACATAACATAGAAATTTATTAGAAGAAAATACATCATAGAGTTTAAAAGCTTACAGCCAAAAATAATGCTGCCACATGCTATTACATAGTTTAAAAGTTTGAAGAGACTTTAAGACAAGTGAATTAAAACATCATTAATGTACTGCAAGATTAAAAATATTAAAATACCAGCATTTATCTACAGAAGGATTATTGAATCTTTGAGTAAAGTAATGTATTCAACATTGAAATGTGACAGATTTAAAACAGTTTTAAAGTAATAAGAAGAAATAACCACATTACAAAGAAATAGAAGGAGAAATAATATGACCAAAAAGATTTAATGTCAGAGATACGCCAAACAGGACATAATTTTGGGCATTCAGAGATAAGAAGAACTGCAGATGCTGGAGTCAGAGATAAGATGTTCTGGAACTGGAGGAACACAGCAGGCCAGGCAGCATCAGAGGAGCAGGAAAGTTGATGTTTCAGGTCAGGTCATTTCTGAAGAAGGGTTCTGAGCCGAAACATCAACTTTCCTGCTCCTCTGATGCTGCCTGGCCTACTGTGTTCCTCCAGCTCCACACTGTCATAAGTTTGGACATTATTGAGAAAACGCTTCATTAGAAGGAAAATTGTGTTATTAAATCAAAATTAAATACTAAATCTCAAGCTGCACAAGTCAAATTACTATGACAGTCATACAGCACTGAAACAGACCCTTTGGATCAACTCGTCCATGCTGACCAAGTTTTCCAAAATAAACTAGTCCCAGTTGCCTGCATTTGGTCCATATCCCTCTCAACTGTCTCTATTCACATACCTATCCAAATGTCTTTTAGATGTTGTAACTGTATCTGCATCTACCACTTCTTCTGGCAGTTAAATCCACATACGATCCACCCCGTGTGTAAAAAAGTTGCCTTTCATGTCCCTTTTAAATCTTTCTCCTGTCACCGTAAAAATATGCCCTCTACTTCTGCACTCACCTACCCTACAGAAAAGACCTTTGCTATTCACCTTATCTATGCCCCTCACGATTTTATAAACCTCTATAAAGTCACCCCTCAACCTCCTATGGTCCAGTGAAAAAGATCCCAATTTCTGAAGCCTCTCCTTATAACTCAATCCCTCCAGTCCAGGTAATATCCTTTTAAATATTTTCTGCACTGTCTCCAATTTAATAACATCCTTCCTATAGCAGGGTGACCAGAACTGTACACAGTACTCCGACACCATATTGTATTCATTTAGTCCTGTATTTGACTACGTTGTAAATCACAAAAAAGGGCACAGATATTTTTAAAGAAGTTCTAACAATTCTGGTAATGACTTCATTCTGAGAATAAATAAAATCCTCAAAAGAGTTTTGACTTAACAGAAGAGTTCAGCATATTAGTGAATTCACAGCTAACTTCCATAATGACCTTCACTAATTAGTAGAAGACTATGACAATGGAGGTTTGAAATTAGAAATTGTAAGAGGCAAAATTGTTGTTGTAAATCTTGGTCAGTCTTTGTCAGATTTATTATAGTAAAACGAATATTTGATATTGGAGAAAGCCATTCAAACTAGAGGGATTCACAGTCAAATCCTGAGAGGAGAAAGATGAGCTTACTGTAGGAGATCAACAGAATTAATCCACTTTGTAAGGGACAAACATTCTATTGATACATTTGACCAGACAACACAAACAGTAGACCAAACAGCATGTGCATCAGGACCAAAAACAGAAGTTGCTGGAAAAGCTCAGCAGGTCTGGCAGCATCTGTGAAGATAAAATCAGAGTTAAGGTTTCAGGTCCGGTGACCCTTCCTCAGAGGTTTTCATTGAGCATGTGCATCAGTGTCAGTGCTGTGGAACAAAGAGCCTCACAAGCAAAAACAGTGCTCTGCTCTAATTATTGCTACAGATGTAACCTATTGGTCACTTCCAGAAGATGTCCCAAAAGAGGATACAGTTTCAGAGTTGCAAAAAACCAAATGAAGTTTACCATACAAAGAGATTTTGTGTGGTATAACCTCCTCTGTACGAAAAGATATCCAAGGCATTCCTAGGGGAAACTGGTGATCCAACTGGTTCAAATTTGACAGAATTTCTGCGTGACAATGGACAGTCCATTAATTTTAAGTCTGAGCCAGATGCGTATGTCAATGCTCCGTCAGTTCAAATGTCATGACTCATGAAACAGAAGCTACAGTCTACAGAAATGAAACCATAGGCAGAATAACTCTCCAGAGCAATGGTATGCTACAAGTAACACAGCAACACAAAGAGATTCAGAGAGTTGAAAATGTTTGTGTAATTTGAATTCAATACTTCTCACTTTTGGGCCCACAGGCATGTCTTTGCCTCCGCGTCCTTAGGACAGCAGAAGGAGTTTAACTAGTTCCAAGAGAACAATTGGTTCAGAAAAAAACTGTTGCCATCCAACTGATTAAAGCGAGCTACGGAAGGTTTCACTGGGCTTTCCGGTCACATGGTGAAACCCAAAAAGAAGAAAGTATCCATTGCGATTACTGTTGATGACACAAGAGAATTGTTTTATACTGTCAACAGGAAGGAAGTTGTAGACTTTACAGGAGTTGTGGAAATATCTTCCATTCCCGTCATTACCAAAGAATCTTCAAATAATAACAATCAGCAAAATTTGTCTCAGAACTAAATATCCTTAAGAATGAATGATATAACCCAGTTGAGCTAACTAACAAATCTCCACCTGACGTTCTTCAGACAGCACAATGCATTGATTAAATTGATGTGGCAGATTTTTTTCAATGTCAGATGATGAGCTGATGCAACCTCAAGAATAACATGTCAATCCTTCATCTTTCAAAGACGAGTTATCAGTATTGATGACAGAGGAACTGTTCATTAAGCAACAATCCTCTTGCACCATGATTGAGGATGTGAAAGTGTCTCATTCAATAGAAATGTATTATAGAGAGTGAATGAAATTGTTTAACCTACTCTCTAAATTAAATTAAATTTACATACTTCAACTTGGATGAATGAGCAGATTGCTGCGATCAAATGAAGAGGGATATGTAACAATACTATGGCTTTAAGAGGTGTATTTTGTCCTGGTTTTTATTTGAAGAGAGGTTTTGAGCCATAGTCGATGAGCTGTCTCTCCTGAGCCAATAAAATAAATAGCTTGTGAGGCCTTGGATTTTTTCAAAGTTCAAACAAAAGAAGCAGCACAAATGGGCGGAGTCAGGCTCCCACAGAACTAGGGTTTTAGTTTAGCTTTCAGCACTTGTTGGGAATTTGAACTTAGCTGCGGAAGTGCTATACATCTCTCTCAGCCACAGCAAAAGGCTTGAGTTGTCTTACTGTGCCAGAATTTTCTCTTGGTGTTCTTTTCTCCTGGAATGGAGAAATATTGCACGTGAAACAACCTATTTTGCTGACTTTGCGTTTGCCAAAAGTGTGTTTATGGCACGTTACTCTACTGGAACAGTTGCTGTTCATAATTA